CCTGTCCCTGGTGGTTTTGGCCCACCTGCAAACTTAGGCCCCCTCCCGAAGGGTTAGGGGACCTTTTCTGGCGAATCATCCAAGAAAAAGCGGGGGGGGCTTCTAAGAAGGCAGGCGGTTTCTTAGAACCCCCTTCGCCCTGAGCGTCCTACGGGGTTTCTTGCACGCCGCTGGGCACCTCCGAAGGGGCCCTTTTGCCATTTCAGAATCCCGGAGGTGGAGGAGGAGGAACAGGAGGACGTGAACGTAGAGGAGGATAAGGTGGATGTGGGGGATCATTATAGTGCAGCCCTGATGCTTTAAGGGTAGGCGTAACCCTGTGTATGTCGGGAGGGGAACTTGGGCTCTCCCATCCTTGCTGGTAGGTGCCGGTGAAAGTGGGACGGTCTCACCTTTCGCTGATAGCGGTGCGCGTGTTGTACAATTTTGGGCGCCTCAGACTAGTAGTAAGGATGTGGACTTCACCTACCAAGTGACCACCAGGATGGCGGAGGAGGTCAGCGGGAATGGTGGCATGGTTTTTGCCCCCTCGCCTGCGCGCTCTCAGGGTATCATGGGGTGGTGGCGAGCGGGACGGGAGGCGGCGGTGGTGGTGGTAGTGGTAGTGGATGCGGTCGATACCCCTCCCTCCCAGGGAGGAGGGAGGAGGAGGAGGGAGGAGGAGCAGGAGAGTCCCCTCCTCCTTCGCCGACGAAGACACCAGCGACGACGACGACAAGGGCGGGGGGCAGCGAGGAACCACCACCACAGCCGCCACCGGAGGTCTCCGCGAGGCCCTCCAAAGGCCTCCAGAGGCATCCGGGGGCCTCGGAGTGCCCGCAAGAGGGGCCTTAGGCGCCCCGCAAGCCTCGATCCTCGAGACTCGATCGATCGGTCGGCGGCGGCGAGGACGGCGACGGCGGACGACGACGACGAAGACGACGACGACGACGACGACGACGATGATGATGATGATGATGATGCTGATGATGCTGATGCTGATGCTGATCATAATGAGGATGATGGGGAGGAGGAGGAGGAGGAGGAGGAGGAGGAGGAGGAGGAAGATGAGGAGGAGGAAGAGGGGGAGGAGGATGAGGAGGAGGAGGAGGAGGAGGAGGAGAGAGAAGGAGGGAGGAGGGACGGAGGAGGAGGAGGACGAGGCGCTCCTACCCTCGCCAGCGTGCGAGGGGTACCACTGCGTCTCAGCGCAGCGCGCCCGGGCGCGTTGCGCGGCGTCGCGGTTGAGTGGGATCGATCGCATCGAGGCGCTGCGGCGGGGCGGGACGAGGTGTGCCCAAGCGGGAACGATGAGGGGAGATGAGTCGTGCAAGAGCAGAGAGGAGGCACGAGGGCGTTTGGAGGCATGTGAGAAGCCATCTTGAAACATCTTGCGGTATCCTGGTATCTTGAGCGAGCGATCTTGCAGGCAAACTTTCTTGCAGGACATCTTGGGCTCCCTCGCACCCTTTCGGCACGCTTACATGCAGCCCAGAGCCAGGTTGTTGACAGATGCCAGGGTGTCGGGATGGCTGTGCCCGAGAAAGGTCTCCTCTGCGACGAGAGGGGCTCCCGGAAAGGGAGGATGAATAGCTGTACAGAAATTAGCGAATGGAAGACGAACGGGGAGTGAGGAAAGGATCATGTAAGGGGTACTTGAATCGCCGCCGTCGTCGGGGGTCGTCGTCTGGCCGCCGCCGCCGCCGTCATCGTCGTCGTCGTCTCCAAATCGTTTTCATCGTGGAAACGTCGTCGTCGTCCTCGTCGTCGAATCACCGACATGGTTGACGTCGCTTGTCGATGCCGAGCACCTCGTCGGGACCGCGAATGTTTCACAGGTCGTCGTCGACGCCGCCGTCGTCCTCGTCTTCGTTTCCCTTCCTTGCGTCTGCTCCTCCTCCTCCCCCTCCTCTTCCTCCTCCTCCTCCTCCTCTTCCTCCTCCTCCTCCTTGCCCACGCGCGCCTCCGTCCCCCTCGTCCCCCCGTATTTCCCTCGCTTCCCCCCCCCCCTCTGCCCCCTCCCCCCTCTCCGACGACCCCTGCGGGAACCCTCTACTGCGGAACCCCTGTGGAAGGGATCCCAGCCCCCTCTCCCCTGCCGCACGGACTCCTGCGTTCGCTCACCCGGGGCTCCTCCTCTGCATCTTCCTCTTCACCGATCCTCCTCCCCCCTTCTCACCAGTTACCCTCCTCCTTCTCATTAATCCACCTCCTCCTCCCCCCCTCCTCCCTCGTGCTTCTCATCCGCCTCATCCTGCAACGGGCCATCCTCAGGACCTGGCGAAAGAGTGCAGGTGTGCGAGAGGAGAGGCCCCGACCACGACGGGGGCCTTGGTCCTCCAGCGTCTCTCTGAAGGGAAGCCTCTTGAGTGAGCCCCCTCCTGAAGTGGCGTGGCCTGACTGAGTCAGCTTGGGATAACCCTTGGGTAATCCCGCTCCCACCTTCCTCCTCGCTCGCTCACCCGCCAAATGTCCGCGGCCTGGGCAGCATCTCGACACCCGCCCTGCCGTACAGCGCCAATGTACGCATTTGGTTGGCAGAGTCAGTTTATGACCCCGAAGGGTGTGCCGACGTAGCTGCTTCATTGTCGGCATGGCCCAACCTGGTGCAAAAGAAGGCAAGCCGCGCACGCGGAACCTTTCAAAACAAACATCCCGTGTGGGAAAACGTGCCCAAACGATCCGCGGCTTGTTGATTGAACAGGCCCCGTTGGTCTCGTCGCAATGGAGTTGCGTCGCAGGGCGCGTTGGTAAGCTTGCAAATAAGAACTAGATGTGCCACAGTGTGGTGCCCCCGGCTAAGTGGATGTACACTTGTGCTTCCCAGATACGTGGGCCACATGCGCGGCCGGGTGTTCACACACACACACACACGAACACATCAACATATGTCATCATAATAAATACATGCATAATTCTATGTATGTATACGCGCGCATAGGAATATACAATTACAGATGTATGTGTAAATGTATACGTCTATGTATATGTACAGATGAACAGATGTATATGCATACATGCATGTCCGCCACCGTGCCTCTGTGCACGGAGTGAGTGTCCTCAGGTCCTTCGCCAGATCCCCCGAGCCTCAGTCCTCACTCCTGCGGAGTCTCTCAGGGGCCCAAAGTCCAAATAGCCACATGTTCGCTTTTGGTCGTGGTCCTCGCATGGTCCTGGCGTGGTCCTGCACCCCCCCCAATGTCATGGTCCTGGGCGTTCGTTTCACCCCCCGGGGTTCTCCAGGGCCGCCCCAAAGAGTTACATCGATAACTAGTTTGCTGGCTACCCGAAAACATGAGGGAAGTCAAAGAAGCAACGAAAACGATGCCGACGAGGTCCAGGAAGAGCAGAAGGAACAGGAGGCACGAGGAGGGAGGAATACGATGAGGGAGCAGAATGAGACAGAAATTGCGATGATAATAATGCAAATGGGCTTGGGTAACGATGAGAAGGATATACGATACACCATCAATAATCAAATGATGAACAATGATGAATAATAAACCAATGGAAACAAGTATTCGGAGTAGACTGACGATCCATAGCGTTCCAATCAAGAGGATACGCAACACAGAAGCCCTGTTGCAATCATACAGACAACGGGTCTCACGGGGGCACCCCCACTTCCTTTTTCGCCCCACCCCCTTCCCCGAAAGTGGAGGGGGCGGGGCAAGGGAGGGTCCCCCCAACCCCGGGTTTCCCGGGATTGGGGGCGGGGGGGGAATCTCTACGGTGCCCCCCCCTCCCCCTGGTTTCCGGAAGAGGGGAGATTTTGTCAAGCCAAGCGCGCGTGAAACGCGCTCTCTCCGACCTTACGCGGTGGCTTACGCGGGCCGCCGGTGCGGCCCGCCACATTGGAGACGAGGGCGCTTACGCGCGTCCTTACGCGGGCAGCTTACGCGCCAATGTCGGCGAAGACGACCTCGTTTTCTTGCGTCGCTCATTGTTTTACCGACGAACGCACCATCGAACACGAATCCTAACACGTCCAGAAGCAGGCTGCAGCATCGGCAGAAAAGATCAAACGGCAATCGAAAACCAAACCGCATGTATGCTCGGGGGCGGAGCTTCGCTAGGCACACGCTGGAACAGTTCGGACGGCCAACGATTGCTGATCAGGCACAAGGAAGGCGAGGCCCTCTCTGTAGCGCCCCGTGTTATTTTCCGATGAGTGATACGACCTAGCCCAAGACGCATCGTCCCCTGGCCTGCCAAAATGTTGTGCGGCAGCCCCGTATTGAACTGCCGATGCGGCCAGACGACTGAATCCAACACAACGTGGCGAGGAGGGATGGGGGAGCAGGAGAAGAAGGCCAGAGGCCTCCTGGATGGGCTCCGAGCAGCTGGGGTCGGAAGAATAGGCGCATCGCCGTTACATCGCCGGTGCATCGACGATGCTCGGCGGCGACGACAGGGGCGAAACGTCCAGGGGCGGGCATTACACGTATTCGCCCGGGAGCCTTTTCGCAAACATAGATGATCGGCGCACCTGAATACACGTATTGCTCTCCCCTGGGCTATTCGCCCCTATCGTCGCCTCTGAGATTCATCGGCGACGTCGGCGGTGTATCGGCGACGCCGGCGTGGAGAAGCTTTGGCCCCCTGTGGAGCCACACAGCGCCCATGCATCGGCGACGCGGCGCGAGACTCCGAGCCCTTCTAACCTTGTTTACAAGCGGATTTGGGGCAAAGAATCAAACATACCCAACGATATTCAAAAAATATCCAAACATAATCAAAAAAATCGTCCCCAGACTATTTTTAGACTATTTTTGCATACTCCTCATGTCGAGGGACATGCCCGACTTAAGCCTTGTTCCGACCCCGGACAGGCGGAGGAAAAGCAGGAGGAGGACCACATTGTCGTGACTTCGCTGCGGCTGCCACCCCGCCCCTCTCTATTCCCTCCCCAGCGACTGCCGCGCGTGGCCGGCGCGGTGGGCCCCCCGTTCCCCAGCGACTGCCCCGCGGGGAGGGGGGGGGGGGGGCGGCTGTCTATTGCTTGTCGCGGCGCCGGCGACCGCTCCGCGCGGGGGGGTCCTCGGTGAGGCTGCGAAGCGGCAAGGGCTGACAGTCGGAGCCAGGCCAGATGAACATCCTTCAAGAACATGAAGCCCTCCGTGGGCCAAAACAAACAGGGCATCCAAGAGTACCCTCCCCGGGGCGCACAAGAGCATCCAACAAACACGAAGAGCACCAGGGTACCCTCCCCGAAGCAACCTCGATCTTCTACCTCGGTCCGACTGCACGGGGAGGCGGGGACTGCAGGCAGGCAACGGGAGAGGGGAGGACCTTCACCCTTGGGATTGGCCCTCACCCTTGGAACCACTTTCTGGTGCCTCCTCGTATCGGAGAAGAAGGAGCTAGCGGCTGTGCAGGGCGAGCGCTGCATGCCACGTAGATCCTGCCCGGTGCGCTGGCTGATGAGTTGCAGCCTGCAACTCGTCAGCAAGTTGCAGGGACGGCGTCCATTTCGCACGGAGGTGCTGCGGAGGGTGGGGGGGGGAACTCGCCATGAAGGCAAAGGGGTCCTGAGCGAGACGTGTTCTGGTGGTCTTTGGCCCTCCTCCTGCTCCCAGGGCGCCCCCGCGGGGCCCCGGGGCCAACGACCAGTGGGAACCAGCTCGGGCCGAAGAGCGGGTCCTGAGGAACGGCCCTAGGCGGGGTGAGCGGCCCGCTTCCCTCGGGACCCCGTGTCAGTGAAGGGGCCCAGGGACACACACACATAAAGAGACAAGATCCCCGGATTCCCCATATTTTCAATGTTTTACTTTCCTCGGAGTCGACGATGACTTGTGTCTGTGTTTTTTCCCCTCCTGAGTCATTCGTGCACGGGGCGCACACATCCATCGTCTTGTTGCTCTCAACACGGGGTCCTCGGAAACCCGGCCCCTGTCCCCCAGGGCCAGTCTTTCATCCCGAGGCATTGGATTGACGGCCGCGAAACCCAGCAAAGGGCCCCCGAGGCTGAGCACGGACAGAAATT